CAGAGGCTCTCCTGATATCCTTCCTCACCGCCTTTGTCCATGCCTAATGCCTCTACACTTCAGTTCACTAATTTCCTCAATAAACCTTTATTGGGGATTGTCACCATTTTAAGCACTGTGGTGGGGGCAGAGATAGAAAACTGAAACCAAAGCTGGAAATTACCACATTGCCTGCCCTCAGGGAGCTTTACAATCTAATGGAGGGCCCAACAGAAAGATACTTAAAACACGATGTTAAAGTGCAGAGAGAAAGAGAGGGATGTAGTCTGAGGAGAGCTCAGGGGAGACAGGCTGAAGTGCCCCGCCCCCCAACCCAGGAAGGTTGGGAAGTCTTCTTGAGGGAGGTAAGTGCTGAGAGTCTGAGGGAGGTAGCCCACAGAAGAGGAGGGGAAACCAGAGGGCACAGTGGAAAACAAGGCACAGAAGGGACAGACAACATGGCGTACGCAGGCTGCAGACTACAAGCAGTTTGTTGTATTGGAGCTTAAAGATTGAGACTACAAAGACCAGGGAAACGGTCCTCTCCTTCATGAAAGAACCCGTATCTTCCTCTAGACAGACCCCTTTGTGAGTCACTTATTCACTTTGAACTATATTTATCTGGCTTTATCCATAAAACGTTCATGTCAGTTTCCTTTAAATCTTCTGCAATTTTTAGTGCAATACTTGTAACCACAGTAAGTGTTCAGTACTATGTGTACTTTCTAAATGCAACTGAGGATCATACAGAATCAGGCAGAGGCTGCAGCAAATATATGAACACTACTACAAGTTCAAGAGTGAATGAAAATGTGCAATCCTCAGATTATTAGAAGAAAACACTTTTGCTTAACCAAGAAAACATCTCCAGTGAACCTCTCACAGGATTTTCGAGTTGTCTCTCCACTGTAGGGTTAGGTCACTGAGGAGATATACAGACCACTTTAATACCCTTTGACAGTACCTGTATTCGAATGTAATTCTAACAAATTGAGTACTTTTACTAAAATGAGGTCAAGGTCTTCACTAGTTTTTTTTGGTGGGGGGAGAGGAGCATAAGAACTTTTTAGTATTCTTAGTTGAAGTACAAATAAAGATCCTTAAACTAAACTGCAATTTTATGCAAACATTAAAAAAAAATCATACCGGTAATTGCATTTTTGTAAGAGCTACTTTAGATTTTGTGAGCAATATGAAAAAAACGTGTAGGTCTAACAGGTAGTAAGTCCTTGAATATTTTGGAAACACAACAGTGTGGAAGAAGATATGACTAGTTTAATGTTTCATTAAAATAATTGAGTTTGAAACTAAACAGCAGAATTTATCAATTAAATTGAATTGTGTTTAGTATTTCATGAAAAACTCAACGTTATAGCACCCCAAACTTATTTTTGTCTTTAAAACATCTTGTTACCCTCATCTTCTTATGTTTTCAGTGCTCTCTGTCTATCCCCATCTTGTCCTTCTCTTTTCTTCTCCCATCACCTATGTATACATCTCTGTGTCTAAGCTGAGCCAAATTACCCTTAGTCCAGGCAGACAAGAATATGGTCATCTGCACAATCGCATTTTGTATCACCTTGCTTATTTCCTTACTGTTTACTTTGATTGTTGTTGCTTATATGTGTCCTGAGAATAAGAACACAAAAGTAGAAGAAACTTTCCTCCCTGAATTAGCTTGAGAGGAACATGTGCGCATGTGTGTAGTGTACACACACACACACACACACACACACACACACACTCTTCCTGAAGGAAAAAAAGAATAGTGATGCTTATTTTTCTTTAGTTTTCTTACAAAGCCCACATCAGAATACACTATGTGTTAGAAATTCATTATATTTGTCTTTTTTACATTAAAAACAAATTCAAATTAAAAAAGAAAGAAAGAAACATCGGACTTACTGCAGTGGGAAAAAACTAGCCTGATCAGTTTTTCAATGAATTAAATGTTTTCTTGATTAGCCAGTGCACTTTCTTTAAAGACTCAATTTCTCCTCTTCGTGTCATCACAAGAAAAGTTTCATAAAGAACACTGTAGAGATGGATGTCAGTTATGACCAGAAACATTTCTTTTGAATAAAAGTTTTAAAAATAAATGTGGCTAGAATATGGTGACTATTAAAATGTTAATCATATAACATCATTAAAGCTGGTTTTATGAAAACAACAAAAACCATAAACATTGTGCTAATTTTACAAAGAATGCATCTTTTGGGAAAAAAAAGTCAAATTTCATCTTCCTTTGCAAAAAAAGTAATTGGAGAAAAGCAACCTTTATCCATACTTAAAAAAAAAAAGAAATAGTGGGGTGACAAACTCCATAATGGTTCTTATTAGTGATGCAAATCCCATAATATATATTTTATTATGTAAACATTTTTTCCTGGAGTATATGTAATCTTGGACAGTTTTGAAATGCTGTGTAAATACATGCAGTGTTCTTTTGAATAGCTTGCTTTTCTTTGATTCCAAAGTTAATTATATTCATTTATATGTTGAATGACAAATTCTATAGTCTGTATTTCAAATGAATATACAAAGGAGTTAGAAAAGGTACTACTTACCTATTAATAAACTCCTGCTAACCACACTTTTTCCTGCCCCTTTTTAAAAGTAGTGCTTACTTTGTTTTAGATATTGAAAATGAATTTAAGTTGATCATGAATATATATACATATATATACATATATATATTTGTACATAACATATTTTTAAAAACTCAGTGAATATTCTATTGTACATATTTTATTTGACATTTTGGTTTACATAAGAAACTGTAAATTCAATATGAGGAATTTAATGTTAAAGGCTGATGAGCTTTGAACTTTTTTTAACAAACAAGGACAGAGCCACTTTGCTTGAATTGCACAGAGCATCTGCTGTGTGTCCAGAGGACTTCTCGTCGTCATTCTCCAAATGGGCAATAACTGAAATTATAAGTTCTTCACAGTTGTTGTTTTTTAATTCATCTGCACTCAATCCAACAGTGACCCATAGATATTTTTCCACACTTATTTCTTTGTGGTGAAATCCAATGGGCAACTTCTCATAATATCGTTTTCAAAGCTATCTTGTAAAACATAACTAAAGGGGCTCCAGTGTTCTCTGTTACATCAGAATAAAGTTCTTCTGTTTTATTTTGAAGCCTGGTTTAAAAAAATGCACAGAAAGGTCAAATCCATTCCACATAGAAATCTCATTCTTTAGAAATATTTGGTAAGATCTTGAATCACTTTGTTTTGTCTTTTAAATTCTGTCATCTGCTTAGATTTAACTAAAATAATTTTTCTTTCGCATTGTGTTAGCTAAATGCATCTGTTCAACGGCTATCCATTCACAGGTAAGAAAATCATGAAAGGAGAATGAAATTAATTTCAAAGTATATATGTGGTATCTTTTAAAAGCTGCATTTCATCATCTGGAGAGCTGCAATTTAGTCTATTAAATCTATAGCAGAGAAGCAGGGGGAAATGCTTCCGTTATGAGGAGGGTCAGTCCTAAACAAGTCTATTTTCATTCCCAACCTTCAAAGGTAACATTCTCAGCTTCATGGGCTCCTGGTGGAATATATAATTTGCATCTTTCATTCTTAGCTTAGTTGAAATGGAGCAGACTGGATGTCCACCAGGCCAAAGTATAAACTTACCGTTTATCTATTAAAGTCATATTTAATGAAAACGAAGAGAAATTTATTACCTCACTCACTCTCTTGCTCATTACAATTCCTAAAGAACTTTGCCGGGCACATTATCTCGTAGACATCATGATCAAATGTTATTGTTTGCTTTATTATCTCAGTTGGATGGTTGGCTAGTCTAGAATGAAATAGGTTGAAGGCAATCCTCACAGCCTAGAAGTCTGAATGAGGTTCCCATTCAAATGATCCTGGTTGTTTGGGGGTGGGGCGGGGTGATTAGTAAACCAACTGAGCTTACACTGCATAGTAAGCGTCTGGATGCAGCACATTTACATCTAACAAGAGACCCCAGAAAACGTGTGTGTGTTTCTTAAACCTTATGTTCCGAACAAAAGGCTATCTCAGCAACAGACAATCAGCACTGCATTGCTCCCTGGGATGCGAGCAACACACTCAACTGCACATTTCATTCTTCCTCAGCTCCCAGCACCACAAAGCCCCTACTCTCTTCCCACTCCTGGGTCCCCGGCTTGCTCCATAGAAGGGGGTTGGGAAAGCATGAGGCTAAAGTCTATGCTGGCGCACCAGCAGCCCGCACCGGGGGCCTCCAGGCGCTGCTTTCCCCGGCCCAAGCCGCCTGGGGGAGGTAGGGAGGGGAACCAGGGAAGCGCGAGAGTGGACCGCACACCTAGACACTTATGATTTTATTTATTCACAAGGAGGCGGGGGAGGCGAACCGGCTTAATTTGGATTTCCCCCCCGAAGTTGCCTCATCTTAGCAGATAAAGTCATTTTCTGGCTGGTGCTGGGGGCCCAGGGGAGAGTGCGGGTGAGGTCCTGGCTTCTCGGGGCCAGATCCTGTCCTGTGTGCGGAGTCTCGGGGGGTGGGGAAGGGTGGACTGGCCGCAGCTGTCGAGACGGCCGGGAGCCCGCAGGGAGGGGCCCGCGGGCGCTAGAGCCGCGCAGCCCTGTCCCGGGCCCTCCCAGGCTGGCTGGGGCGCGCAGGGGCCGGCTGGTCACGCGTGGGAAAGAAAGGCCCCTTCCCTCCCCCCACCACTTCCCCCCTCCACCCCAAGGCATTGCTCCCCTTTCCCCAGGCTGGGCCGCCCGGGAGTGCGGGCAGGGAGAGCTCCGGGTCCCTGCGCGCGTAATCATGACCTCGGGGCCCCCTCCGGGCCGCGTGAGCGCGTCGCCAAGGCTGGGCGGCCGCCGCGGCCCCGGCCGTGTAACATGACCCGAGCGGCTGGCCGGCCAGCGCGGCGCGGCCATTGAGCCCTCCCTGCCCATGAATCTCTGGCGCGTCTCTCGCTCGCTCGCCCGCTCGCCTCCCGCCTCCCTTTCTCCCCCTCCAGCTCCGCGGGCTCCGTGCGTCTCTCCCTCTCCCTCCCGGTCCTCCCGCTGCCCGTCTCTCTCCACTGCCCGCCTCTCGCCACTGCCTCCCGTCTTCTCTCCCTCTCCGCAGCCTCCGTCTCTTTCTCCCTCTCTCCTTTGAAAACTGATCTTTGGCTCTTAGTGTGAAAGTGATTTGAATTTGGCTCGGCGGCGCTCTGCGCCTGCGCCCAGCCTCTGGCATGCTGGCTCCTTCCAAGCAGCTGTTTTGGGTTTGAAATTCCAACATGGCAGAGGCTGCAGTCCGTCTTCCCTTCAAAAACTTGGAATGATTTCAAATCATAGGCACCTTCACTTAACCCTAGCTTCCATTCATCAGCAAACACGTCGGATCGATGCTACGCTAACCTATCGGGTTTTCGTTCCGCGCGTTCAGGTAAGAGGAGCTTCGTAGTTTTCTACCATCTGTTTAAATTTGTTTTTGTTTTTATTTATTTTATTTTTTAAGAATATAAATAAATCCAAGACCGGTAATAAAAAGAGATCTTCCAGTAGTGCCGTAAACATTAAATTTAAATTTGCATTCGCTTCTATTCTGTACGCCAACCTGCTGTCTAATTTCTCTGTACAAAGTAGCCCTGAAACATTATAATGCATATTTTTGCTGCTTAATCATTGTAACAATAGTATTGGATTAAGAATTCGCGATAGCAAGAATCTCGTTTTCCGCTATATTGGGCTTACTTATTACTATCTTTTTACTTCAAAAATAAAAAAAATAAGAAAGCGGAGCCATAGGGTGGGGCTAGACTTTCTTCGGGAACTAACTTCTAAGTAAATAAGAAGTGTAAATAAGAATCTTGCACACACAAAAAGTTGAGGTTAAATTACAGTCTCGTGGCTGGGGGAACGTGAAAATGTCAGAAGATCGGTTGCAGAAAAATGTAAGCACATCATCTTGGAGGGGGTACAGCGTGGTGGGCGTATTGTTGGCAAGGAACGGGAGAGAAAGATGTATAATTTAATGGTATATACAATCCACTGATCCTATTACCGTCCTCCCCGGAGCTCTTGTTAGTTTCAATGGGAGTGAGTGAAATTGACATGGACTTGCATTCCTGGTCATGTGCTTTTTTTCCTTTCTTTCTTCTCCTGTGATCTGAGATCCCCTTTTTGTTGATGTTGCTTTCCCCCTTAATTATATGCATGTAGGTTAAATGAATACCTGACGAAAGGGCCCACGTTTCAAGGCAGTGACATTTGATAGCTGAGAGGAAAAGTGGCTTTAATGAAAAGCAACCTTTGGAATTCCTGCTTGTGAGAAATCCAATTCAGCTTTTTGTGCTGCCAGCAAGAAATGATCAGTAGCACCAGTGTTTATGGTATGTCAGTTTTGGAATTTACTTCCTTTGCATCTAAATAGGAAAGACAAGTTAAATAGCATGATAAAAACCATTGAAGACTCTCCTTGGGAAGCAGACGCTCATGATATATAATTCCTTTAAATATATATGTATATTTTAATCTGTCAAAATGCTTGTTTGCTTTTGCTATCACTTGTTTATATTTCAGTTTTTGATTAATAGATTACTGGAGTCCACTTTTATCCGTTTTAGCGGTAATCCCAAAGTTGCATGTTACTAGTAATGCACTATATAACCACTGAAGTCAAATGGTATGTAAATTAGTTAAACTCAGTGTGGGGTTTTTTGGGGAGGAGGCTGGGTGGAGAGGGGAGAGGGCGGGAGTGTGGGGAAAGACTGCTTACTAATGAAAGTATATATATATATATATATATATATATATATATATGTACACACACAAAACTGGATGAAATTTTTTTTTTCTCAACCTATTAATGCAATTTGACTATCTGCTCTCTGGATGATTACACTTTGTGGAGTAATCAGTTCTTCTGAGTGTGTTTTTTTGGGTGAGTGAGCGAAGGGGTGTCTTTTACATAAAAATAAAAAATATATATTTTGATTGCTTTAAGTATTTAATGCCTTTTAAGAAACAGTGGTAGTTTTTTTTTTCCTTGCCATTCACTTGTCTGCCTGTCAGCGCTTTTTACTTTTAACCTGTGACAGAATTAAATAATCAAGCACTGAAATTGACTTTGTTTGAAATCGCTCTTTCCTCTTTCTTCACACAAAAAAAAAAAGGTCAGATAAATGGAGTGAGAGGGGGTTTTCAATAGCTCTTGTGACAGTGCCGTGTGTATACTTTGTGATATTCAATTAAGACTAAAAGGGAACAATAACAAAAAGATGTTAAAAGTATTTTGCATAACCACAGGACATATCCACTTTATACTGGTTTGGGTTTTTGTTGTTGTTTGTGTGTGTGGTTGTTTTTTGTTTTTTTGTTTTGTTTTGTTTTTGTTACATTTACCATACCACCATGCATTCACCCTGGAAAGAGAGCGAAGGAAAGGGAGAATGTGAAAGAAAGAAATAGCAGTGGGGCAAAGCTGCCAGGGGTCTGTAATGTGGCCGTGGTTACTGCTCTCTCATAACACAAATGTGAATACAAGGAAAGGCACTACAGGAGCCGTTGCGCGACACACACTTTTGGTTGGACTCTGGTGACTATTGAGCTAAACACACACTGCTCTCACACGATAGAAAAGGATTTGAATTTTGCATTTGGAACTTGTTGACTTTGAAGCGATCAATAAGAAGACTGTTTATTTTAGATGCACATAATTTGCCCTGAGAAATGTTTTAAGGAGGAGAGAGCACAGCTTTTTTTCCCCCGGAGCTGTTGGAGCGAATGGGATTGCCAGATGGGCGATTTCCCTCTGTGATGTTAAAGCTGTAATATATATTCAGAGCAGATTGGGCTGCTGCCTGTGATGAGGAGGATATTACATTTATAAATTTTAAATCGGAGCTCGGACAATGTGCTGAGAGCAGAAATTGGATGGTTTGACTGTTCACCGTATTGATACTTAAATGTGATTTCTAGGTAGTAGTAATAATAATCATTGCAATAATATGTAAAAAACATGTTGGGGTAGGCAATCATATAATTCATGACATTTAACAGCAGATTTAAGTGTGTAAATTGCCCCCTCCTCTGTCTCTGCTTACTATTAAATAATAGTCACATAATTTATTTCTCTGTGTTTAAATGCTTGTTGTGCAAATGATGGTCATTCAGGAGCCTTATCACATACTAGAATTCTGGGAAGGAAAAGTTTATATATATGTTTATATTTGTATTCATATATATATATATATATGTGTATATATATATATATATATATATATAAAGTAGACACTAGTGTATATGTATAAAATAGCATTAATGGTTCCTATTCTGTAATTCTATCCCTCTGATTATTTTTAGATTTTGTTTGTTTCAAACGCGTGGCCTAAAGGAACCAGAACTACAAACCTAAAAGGCTGGAAAGTGGGCAAGTGCTCTCACTCTGGCAGCTCTGCTGTTGCAAATTAAAAGTGTGTTGTGGTCAGGAAATGAAAGCTACAATGTCTCTTTTGAACAAGTCGTTTATCAAGAGAAACATCTATCAGGGACTGCCTTGTCACATTGATTCTCTAAAAGTTAGGTCCGAGGTGGAAGCTGCTTTGATGTTTTTGATCCTAAATTTAATACAACAGAAAAAAAGCAAGGATATTATGACCAGAATAGATTAAAAAAAATGTTTCCTGGAACCAACAAGATCTATTTATTAGTACTGTACTATGTGTGAAGTTTTTTGGACATAAGAGTTGAAAGGTTGAAGAGGAAACCCTAGCCTTTATAAACTGATGGTTGTTAAATATGTATTTATAGTATGTTCAGTTATAGCTGGCTTCTTGGTACATATGGACATTTTGAAAATAGATCGTTTTAAAGGGAAAATTATTTGGAGAGGGTGTTTTGGAACAATATGCAGGGAATCAGAGTTTTCATTCATTCAAATTTTAGAGTTGCCCTCTTCTTTCATCCTCTCTTTTAGTTCTTTATTGCTGTTTTCTCTCATCATTTTATGTGTGACATGTTAGTTTTTCTTTGGGAAAGAAACAGTTTTTCTATAAAAGCCATTTTCCCAAACATGCTTGCTCACATCATCTTTATTGTTTATTAATTGTGCATGTGGATGGTTATCAGTGTAAACTACATGGACTCACTCAAGTCTTTTGGAATTCCAGCCTGAAAATATAGGTAGGTAACAAATAAACCATGCCATGTATTCTTGAATACAGCATATGTTGCATGCATTATTCAAATTTTAAAAGGTATTGTTCAGAAAATAACCAATTAAGAAAAATTTTTTTGTGTGAGCAGTTAAAAGCAGCCTGCTTCAGTTTGGGAGGCAAAGATAGGAGAGAAGTGTTCCTTTGAAATAGTTTCTGGATACTTGTCTTATACTGCTGTTGGCTCCTTGCTCTTTCATATGGATCTCTCAACAACTAGGCTGATAGACCACAAAGAGTGTGGTGAGAGTTTTGGGAAGTGTAATACTTGCTAATTAATCATGTCCGAAATGAAAGAATCATAGTAGGGTAATAAAATCTCATTGTTGTTTTCCTGGAAGAGAGTAAGACTTCTATTTGGAAGCTTTTTGTGTGAGTTGACTTGCTTTTCTCTTCTCTTAAAAAAGACAGTTTATAGGGTCTCCTTAGAATTATTTCAGGAACCATTTTTTTGGGGAGGGGGTACAGAATATTTTCTTTTTCCTGACTACACTGAATCAGTGATATTCTTGAAATTATCTCTGGTATCTACTGAGTGAAAACAGAGATTCTTATTTTTTTTTTCTTTAGTTACATTAAAGACTCCAGTAGCTGAGGTTCCAGTACTCAGTTGTGGGGTTTTTTGTTTGTTTGTTTGTTTTGTTTTGTTTTGTTTTGCTTTCCATGAATAGAAAATCTTTTTGTTGTTTTTATTCATGTTAGGTAGGAACTTTGAAAACCTGTTTGTAGGCAGGTACTTCTGATAGACATATAAGAGAGCAGAAATTTTATTAATTACTCTTAGATAGTATAAGATTATGACCACAGGGGAGAAAAGTAGTTCTTCCAAGAATTGATAGAGAATATCTGTGTTATAACTTGACATTTCCAAGATTGTTTAAGGTATTAGCTACTTGATAAGACAAATGAGTGATATCACTAGAGGTAAATTCTTTTTCTACTTAGCTTTGCTTGTTACCTTTTAGATTTTAATATTTTGCTTAGCTCATGCATGGGGACAGATTCCCGAAAGTTTATGTGTCTGCAACATTTTTCAGAATTTCCATCTCAAGGTGAAGACGGCTCTCCTAATGACTCCCTATTTTTGTCTGTGAATGTTTAGATGCCTTGAATGATTGCCTAATTAAGTAATCAGTTTTAATAGTCTGAAATCAGCAGAATTGCTAGGTGTATTTGAAACAATTGCAGACTTTTATGATTTGTACTTTCCAGTTTGTTCTTAGAATCTTGCTTAATAGAAATGTTTGCTGTTTTGCCTTTTATCAGTATATTCTTAAGTACACATTTTGCATACTACTTTTATAAAGTACCACATTTATTGTAGTGGGGCTAAAATTTAATTACCAGGAATTTAAACTGGTTTATAAATTTTTGATTGGGAGAAATTGTTCTGTAGACATTTGTGTGAAATATTGACATATGCTACTGATCGATAAGACTTGATTAATCAGAATATCTGCTTTTTTATCTCAAGTCATTGAAAAGCCAGAATAAACAAATGGCACAGAAAGCAATGCAATTTTTTTCCTTCAATTAAAAAAAAAATTATAATATAATTGTCTCTTTCTTTGGGGGGCATATAAGGGCTAATGTTTCATTAAAATCAGTTGAACTTAGAAATTATTTGGGGTACTTCTACAAGTCCAAAAATGATTCCATCTTCAATTAACTGTCTCTCTCTCTCTCTCTCTCTCTCTCTCTCACACACACACACACACACACACACACACACACACACAATTATAGCTAAATTTTTTGTCTATGAAAAATGAACACTTTTCAAAAACTGAAAACAAATGCTTGTTTAGCAAGTGCTTTAAATCATGGATGGAATTGGTAATTTTCTTCCTTTTATTATAAACGTGAATTTGTATCATTAACTTTTTCACTTAACTTATGGTAGAAATTTCAAGCATAGCTGCTTGGACATGATTGCTGATTACTGATCTTTGGGGGTTTTTGGTCTTATCATTCAAATGGCAATTTTACTTGAAAGATGCTCCCTCCAAGAAATGCAGATAGTGGAAATAAGGAATAGGCAAGAATACGGTGAAAATAAATTGTACTGATAAGTTTGCAGCAAATCAAAAGCAGGTGGGTTGCTGTTTCCTTCAGGCAGCCCCACGGATGCCTGCTCAGGACTCTGCCTCAGCACGGCACATGTGTCTGCTACCTGT